GATCTGGGAAAATACGCTCTTCACAAAAGAAAACCTAATCCTACTACGATGTTAGTAGTACGTTATGGCGATACTAACTCAAGGCGAGTATATGTTAACGTCCACTAGAGCGCAGTGAATGAAGCACAGATCGCTGTCCTGTTAGTAGATTGCTGATCCTTCGCCATCATCGGCGCTCATGATTTTCTTCCCTCTACCCTTCCCGTTATCGCTATCACGAGAACATCCAAAATTTAACTTGAATTCTGCACGAACAGGTAGCATGTTGCCTCAAGAACAACTGGATTGTATTATATTTCGACCAACCTCTCCAGCTCTTCTTCTTCTTCTTCTTCTTCTTCTTCTTCTTCTTCTTCTTCTTCTTGCAGTGTACGCTGTTCTCGCCAAGCGTCACCACATTCTCCTACCCAAGGTCTTCGGCAGTGACGTTGACTTGGAAGTGGTCTTCACTTTATCTTCACTACTTCCTTGCAGCTCTTATTTGAGCCTCCTTTCGCTTGCCTGGCGTTCCCCAGATCAGGTCCTTTCATCAGGTTGCTAAGATATCCTTAGCGCTTCATCTTATCGCTGCTCTCCTGTCTGCCATTTGTCCAGGAGTCGTATGCAAAACCGCTTTAACTTTTCCGTTCCTGGCGGAAGCACGTCGTACTTTGGGGATACCCGGCGAGATTATTCCCATTTGGTGGCTTGAGGAGAAAAGGAAGTCGTATTCACCTTCGAGGAAGATGTTTTCAACTGTTCTCGACTTCGCTCACCTCTGGTATTCCAAAAGTGTCCTGTGCTGAGGTTTCCAGTTCTCCTCAGACCTTTGCCGTTTTGAGAGATAACCTTCTGACGGATGCGTGGCTTGTTTCTGTTTGCGTTCCTCTGCTGCTGACTAACTCTGAATTTGTCTTCGCGAGGAAAGCATTACAGACCTAAACGACCGGTTGCCGGGTTAAGAGCACTCACTTCCTCGGTATCCCTCACTCATATTCTCTATCTCAGCACAATCTTCTATCACTACAGATGCCACCAATCATCGGTCACAACGAGTCGATCACCCTTGAAAGTCGACTTCACGGCCCCCGCAAGTACTCGCAAGGGAATGGTTTGAACTTCCCATGGAACTTAGAATGGAGACCTAGGTACATCGATAGAGCCTCGAATGCTGATTACGAATATGCAGATTAAAAGTGCTACGGGGACCTCCCAGACGAGTTCTGGGCGGTCAAAGTTTGCGAAAACTCGGTTTTGGCTCGTAAGCGCTGCTGATCGATCACTGGACAGTGCCACCGTGGCCTAGTGGTAGCGGTCTCGCTTTCAAGTCAAACGCATGTGGGTTTGCATCCGGTTGGCGCGAAAATTTTTGCTTCGCTCCGTATAAGAGCTTCAACTCTAATTTTCGAAATTCTTCCGAATTTACGGCCCAGCAGGGCAAGTAGATCAAGTACATCAAGTATACGACGTACTCGATCTAGTATGGATTTGGTCATATAATTTCTTTAGCCCGTCTCTTGAAGATATTGTAACCTCAGATTAAAGTTAATTGCTCCTAAGATCGCAATTTGGCCAGACGAGAGTTTTTCTCAAAAGGATGATTGATACTCGGCGTTGCAGGAGGTCGAGATCTCCCATGAACGAGGCTTCTCGCTAAGACTTTGAATTGCCGGTTGGGTAACCTATTCAGAGAAGGCAGATGTGACCAAATCCATACTAGATTGAGTATGTCGTATACCTGATGTACTTGATCTACTTGCCGTGCTGGGCCTGGCTAAATTCGGAAGAATTTCGAAAATCAGAGTTGAAGCTCTTATACGGAGGCGTAAGCAAAATATGATGCCGTGCAAACGGATGCGAGCCCACATGCGTTAACTCTGAAAGCGAGGACCGATTACCACGAGCACGGTGGCACGTGCCGATGCAGGGGCTGATCGAGCAAGCGCGCTTACGAGCAGAAGCCCCAGACTACCGACCCAGATCGGCGTCGTGGCATGGTCATACCCGTAGCACTGTGTTAATTGCGTGCAGTACTCGAAATTCGCGGAGCATACGGAGCGTGTTGTGTGCGTGATCCGAGGTACTGTAGTGTCTTGTCCTACTCTTATATTGTTCCTTGGAAGTTCAAACCATTCCTTGTCTATATTTAATACTACTTATTTCTTCATTTTGTGTGGCATGTCAGATTTATCTATCGTACAAGCTATTACGTTGTCAGCGAGCCCTCGCGGTGGCTGCGGTTCGGGAGTTCGGAGCGTGAGTGGGTTGATTTCTTTATCCTCAAATGGGAATGGAAGCGGTCCGGGTTGTGTGATTAAGCCCGGGATTACTATGGGGATAGGTATAAGGAGTCTCGGCTAAGGTAGTGCGTACTGTATTGCGTCGTTGATGGTGGTTTCTAACTGCCTTCAACGAATTATCAGTATCTATTGTTCACCATACGACCTATCGCGTACTTATATTTCACCAAACAGTTGATCAGTTCCGTTGTTTGAATGATATGGCTATTCGACATCATTAGTGCTCCACATGGCTGGTGAATAAGTCGATGAGACTATGCGCGAATAGAGATGTCTCGTGTCAGCGAGTATGTATCTACTAAGAATATAACGAATGTGCCTGCGATGGTTGTGATTGGCGTGCTTGCTGAAGGCGAAACATTCTTTGTAGATACAGACGACTTTTACTAGGTTCCCTTTGAAGAAGCTGTTGCATCCATACCTGGTGCGTGCAGGAAGGTTGCGTACCTAAAAAAACGATAGCACAGAATATGACCAACATGCAAGCTACGAAACTTTCGTCTTCCATTTGAACATCCGCGCTATACCCCAGAAGTGCCTTCGTGTAAATCATGGATTTTCGGCGTCCGGTAACGTGTCCTCGTATATATAACGCGGAATTGTAGCAGGAGAATTCTGCAGTGATGTGGGCGGCTAAGTTCCCCCTCTCACTCGAACGCTCACCCTGTACATGGCGTATACTCTTGCAGGATTATACATGTAACAGTCAGTCGGACAGCTGTCATTCGGCACAATGACATGACTAGTTGTCTTTTTTTTGTCTCAAAAAAAAAAAAAGAATAAAGCCGCAGAGCCTGTTTGAAAGGCGAGCAGTGTACGCGCCGCTTAAATGAAGTAGCTTAGCACCGGCCATCCTTTTTGCCTGGATATGAATGTCTGTGATACGAGGAAATAAGTTTGTTCGAAAACGTTTATCGCAATGCGTGTATAAGTTCCAGTCTCAGAACCGGAGCTCTAGTGTCACACTTCCACAAGATCTCAGTGAAAAAAATTTAATTTGACTCACATTCTCGGTTTGTGTTCGTCTATCCCAAACCGGATCTGTAGGCGTTTAAGTGCAATGCATGCGCAGAGGGACTGAGATCCGGCCTTCGTGGTGAACGTTCTGTGAACGAGTGCCCTACTCTGGGGGATTATTGCTTGGCATGAGCAGATAGCCTAGTTTCTGCGCGGGTTGAGAATGTTATTAGCGCATTGAGAGGGTACAACAGGCCTCTTGTACCTTCATTACAAGCTGTCACTTAGAAGATCTGCGTCCCATATCTGAGAAAGAATTGTGCTCGGAATTGATGGCTCGAGGTCCAAGCGGAGGAGTTGAAGACTGCGCGCTTTACGCTCGTGCTTGCAAGATGGGAAAGTCTATTCGTCATGGACAACATTTCCCGCAGGAAGTCGACAATTTTCGTCACGTCGGAAAGTTCGCGGAGAGAGCAGTTAGAGCTGGTTATGTCACTGGCGCATGGGAGAACTCGTACCGAGCCTGGTCCACAAGTAGCTGCGCGAGCACTTGCGCCGAAGCAAGATGAAAACTGTAAAGCTGACTGCCTCCGCTTGTCACAGAGTAAAACGAGGCCTATATTTCATGGAGAGAGGGGTGCAGTTTGCCGAAAAGGCGATCTGTGCTGTTGCTGATGCCTCAGATCTCATTTCTGGGGATTTTCCGCGATCATTCCTGATCATAAGACTGCGATCTTTGGAAAGGGGAGCGCACGCGGGCATCAAATGGTTTTCGGGGTGTGTTTTCGGGGACTGATAAGAATAATTTGAGAAAAAAAAATTTTCAAAACACCAACCAGATTAGGGTTGAGGAACCGATTGAACAGCGAGTACCACTCTTCGTTTGCTGTGTAGGTAGGGCATCTATCTGGGAAAACAGATTGGATGCCTTCTAGATCTGTGGGAGTGAAAACTGCATACGGACGCCGGTGAGAGTTCCAGCGTAGCCTGAAGAGAATAATGGGCTGCTGTACTTAGCGTGCGGAGCCTCTACGTTGATCAGGAAGAGGAGCAGCTAAGTCCGGTGGAGAGCGGAGAGCGAGCAAACATTCGGGGATGGCGATGAGGACGTGGCCTGCACCAGGTTTTCATGGCGGCAAATCTAACACTCATTGTTTTGCAGTCCCAGTTTTTCACGTAAAATCATCTACGAAATTGATCCCAGAGCGCTTGGCATAAATTGTGCTACACCTATTGTTGCAATACCTCCTCATATTCGGGTTGTGCACCTTAGGTCGCAATCAGAAGCTCGGATGCGAAGACAAAGCTCATTCTGTATTACAGTCAAATATGAAGTTTGGGGCTCGGTTTATTGATCTACCCGCTACTTTTCCGCTGGATGGCCCGAGGCAGCTACATGTCTTGGCATATCCTGCAACGATCTGCGGTAGCAGTCACAAAACACAGCTCTCGTAAGAACTATAGGAACTCAGGTTTTGAAAATGATGTCGAGCAGAAGTAAAAAAGGAAACTATAATTGTGAAATAACTCGGTGCGCTGGCGAAGCGGAGCTGGGGTACAGGGCGCTCCTGTTGGGGGAGCTCTCCTCTTAGAAGCAAATTAAGAGCTGTTTCCGCCAACCAAGCCTTATTCATTCATAGTAAGGCGATCTCAATTTCTAGTATGATTAGGTGCAAAACTCGACTGCAAAACCCATTGAAGTGTTAAGATTCGCCCATAAATCTTTGGCCTGTGAAGCCACCGTGCTCTCCCATCCCATTCGAAATGTTGCTCGCTCTCGTACCATTGTGCTTCTTCCTGATCAACGTAGAGGCTCGCAGTAAGTACAGCAGTCCTATTTCTTTAGTAGCCGGAACTCTCACGGCTTCCGATGCAGTTTTCACTCCACAATCTAGAAGCATCATGTGTTTCCAGATAGATGCCCTACCTACACAGCAAACGAAGAGTGGTACTCGCTGTTCAATCGGTTCCTCAACCCTAATCTGGTTGGTGTTTTGAAAATTTTTTTTCTCAAATTATTCTTATCAGTCCCCCGAAAACATTTGATGCGCGTGCGCTCCCCTTCAAAGATCCCAGTCTTCATGTGAGGAATGATCCGGAAATGCGCCAGAATGAGATTGGAGCATCACAACAGCCAGATGCCTTCTTGGCCTGCACCCCTCTCTCATGTTGGTCGTTCTCTACTCTTGACCGCGAGTCAGCTTACAGTTCATGTTGTTCGCTGCGAGTGCTGCGCAGCACTTGGTGGACAGGTGGTAGAGTCTCATGCGGCAGTGAATAACAGCTCTCCTGCTCCCTCTCCGCGCACTTTCGAGTGACGAAAATGTCAGATTTCTGCGGGGAAACTGTCACATATGACAATATTTCATCTTGCAAGCAAGTGTACAGCGCATCTTCAACTCCCTCATGATTGGACCTCGAGCATAAATTCCGAGAACAATTTTCTTTTTCAGATATGGGACGCAGGACTTTCTAGTGACGCTTGTAATGAAGCAAGAGGTGTTGTACCCTCTAATGCGCCTCATAAATTCAAGGCAGAAAAGTAGGTATCTGCTCATGCCAAGAATATTCCACAGAGTAAGGCCACTCGTTAAGAACGTTCACGAAAGGCGGATCAGTCCCTCTCATGATTGCACTAACCCTACAGGATGGTTTGGGAAACGAAACACAAACCGAGAATGTGAGTCAAATTAAATTTTTTTCACTGAGATCTTGTGGAAGTGTGACACTAGAGCTCCGGTTCTGAGACTGGAACTTATCGATTGCGACAAAGTTTTCGAGTACACCTTATTTCCTCGTATACAGACACCATATCCAGGACAAAAGGATGGCGTGGCTAAGTACTTCATTTAACCGTCGTACCTGCTCCCTTTCAACAGGCTGCGGCTTTTGAGACAACTAGTCATGTCATTGTGCCGAATGACAGCTGTCCGACTGACTGTTACATGTATAATCCTGCAAGAGTATACGCCATGTACAGGGTGAGCGTTCGAGTGAGAGGGGGAACTTAGCCGCCCACATCACTGCAGAATTCTCCTGCTACAATTCCGCGTTATATATACGAGGAACGTTACCGGCGGAAACTCCATGATTTACGAAGCATCTCTGGGGTAAGCGGGATGTTTAAATGGAAAGAAGTTTCGTAGCTTGCATGTTGGTCATATTCTGTGCTATCGTTTTTTTAGGTACGCAACCTTCCTGCACGCACCAGGTATGGATGTGGTACTCGCCGTTCAATCGGTTCCTCAACCCTAATCTGGTTGGTGTTTTGAAAATTTTTTTTCTCAAATTAACTCGTGCCGCTGGGAACGAGCTGGGTACAGGGCGTTGTTAATTAAATCCTGTTGGGGAGCTTCTCCCTTAAAAGCAATTTAAAGGCTTCTCGACAGTTTCCGCCAACCAAGCCTATCATTCAGTATAATCAGTCTGAGAATACGAGCGTGGACTTAAAGTTGCTTTGCTGACTGGCGCTTCCTGTCATAAGATTCAACATGTGCCATTTTTATTTCGATCTCGCAACTCAGTCAACCATGATACATTAGACACTAATGCGAGGTCCGCCTCATTTACCACGCGCACTTTGGCGTATTCTTGTGGTGCTTCATGTCAACACGTGATTCGAGTACAGTTAGATTCTGCTGGCTGCTGCCGATTTCTGGTTCCAGGACTTTTTTTGAATTCCTATAGTTTCGCACATGCTCACTAACTGGAAGGCGTCGAAGGGCAGTGGTCAAAGAGGGAGACCATTGGTGTCTAATGTCATGGTTAACTGGGTTGTGAGTTCGAAATAAAAGCGGCACATGCTGAATCTCATGACTTAAAGCGCTAGTCAACGAAGCAACTTCGAGAATTCCACGCTTGCATTCCCAGACTGATTATCCTGAATGATAGGCATGGTTGGTGGAAACTGTCAAGAAGTTTCTGAATTGCTTCCAAGAAAAAAGCTCAAAAACAGGATTTCATTAACAACGCGCTGTACTCCAGCTCAGGTTTTAGCGAGATATCTCTCAAATGTGAACGCAAAGGTATTCATGGCCGTTTCTTGATCTGCCATGTGGCGATGCAAGAAAGTGCTCGCACGGGGTATTTTCAGGCGTGAGCTTCCTGGCGGACTCTTTGCCTTACGCGCGACATCATGTTTTTCAAAACCTACAGTCCTTTCGAGAGCTGTATTTTGTAACTGCTACCGCAGATCATATCGTTGCAGGATATGCCAAGACATGTAGCTGCCGCATCAGGCGAAAAAGTAGCTGGGTGGATCAATAACGACCAAACTTCATATTTGACTGTAATACAATGAGCTTTGTTTCCATCGACTTCTGATTCGCTAAAGTGCACAACACATGAATAAGGAGGTATTGGCAAAAAGGTGTACACAATTTATCCAACGGCTTGGGATCAATTTCTAGATGATTCCAGTGAAAACTGACTGCAAAACCATGAGTGTTAGATTGCCCATAAATTGGTGCGGCACGTCCTCATCCCATTCGAAATGTTGCTCGCTCTCGTACCATTGTGCTTCTTCCTGATCAACGTAGAGGCTCGCAGTAAGTACAGCAGTCCTATTTCTTTAGTAGCCGGAACTCTCACGGCTTCCGATGCAGTTTTCACTGTGGTACTCGCCGTTCAATCGGTTCCTCAACCCTAATCTGGTTGGTGTTTTGAAAATTTTTTTTCTCAAATTATTCTTATCAGTCCCCCGAAAACATTTGATGCGCGTGCGCTCCCCTTCAAAGATCCCAGTCTTCATGTGAGGAATGATCCGGAAATGCGCCAGAATGAGATTGGAGCATCACAACAGCCAGATGCCTTCTTGGCCTGCACCCCTCTCTCATGTTGGTCGTTCTCTACTCTTGACCGCGAGTCAGCTTACAGTTCATGTTGTTCGCTGCGAGTGCTGCGCAGCACTTGGTGGACAGGTGGTAGAGTCTCATGCGGCAGTGAATAACAGCTCTCCTGCTCCCTCTCCGCGCACTTTCGAGTGACGAAAATGTCAGATTTCTGCGGGGAAACTGTCACATATGACAATATTTCATCTTGCAAGCAAGTGTACAGCGCATCTTCAACTCCCTCATGATTGGACCTCGAGCATAAATTCCGAGAACAATTTTCTTTTTCAGATATGGGACGCAGGACTTTCTAGTGACGCTTGTAATGAAGCAAGAGGTGTTGTACCCTCTAATGCGCCTCATAAATTCAAGGCAGAAAAGTAGGTATCTGCTCATGCCAAGAATATTCCACAGAGTAAGGCCACTCGTTAAGAACGTTCACGAAAGGCGGATCAGTCCCTCTCATGATTGCACTAACCCTACAGGATGGTTTGGGAAACGAAACACAAACCGAGAATGTGAGTCAAATTAAATTTTTTTTCACTGAGATCTTGTGGAAGTGTGGTTCTGAGACTGGAACTTATCGATTGCGACAAAGTTTTCGAGTACACCTTATTTCCTCGTATACAGACACCATATCCAGGACAAAAGGATGGCGTGGCTAAGTACTTCATTTAACCGTCGTACCTGCTCCCTTTCAACAGGCTGCGGCTTTTGAGACAACTAGTCATGTCATTGTGCCGAATGACAGCTGTCCGACTGACTGTTACATGTATAATCCTGCAAGAGTATACGCCATGTACAGGGTGAGCGTTCGAGTGAGAGGGGGAACTTAGCCGCCCACATCACTGCAGAATTCTCCTGCTACAATTCCGCGTTATATATACGAGGAACGTTACCGGCGGAAACTCCATGATTTACGAAGCATCTCTGGGGTAAGCGGGATGTTTAAATGGAAAGAAGTTTCGTAGCTTGCATGTTGGTCATATTCTGTGCTATCGTTTTTTTAGGTACGCAACCTTCCTGCACGCACCAGGTATGGATGCAACAGCTTCTTCAAAGGGAACCTAGTAAAAGTCGTCTGTATCTACAAAGAATGTTTCGCCTATAGCAAGCACGCATCTGGCGAAATATGTGACTATTTTGTGTGAAATATGTGACTGGTTTTTCGCGAAATAAAGTTCCTCGACTTTCCATCAAGCATGTGGAGCACTAATGATTCGAAATGCCATTCTTCAGAAATCAGCCTGATCAGCTGTTGGTACATTCTAAAGCATTACAACTTGACTCGACGAAACCCATCGATACTCCTCGGCTTTTAGCTCAGAGTATAATAATAGTAAGGGTTAAGAACCCAGCAGCGCTGGGTTATAGGCTGATACCGTTTAAATGCACTAAGTTCTGGCTGCTGGCTCATTTATGAAATGCCTAGATCATCAAAGCCGCTGAAAACTTGTATGCAGGGGTTATTTGTCACCAAAACACGTATATGTCGCTCACTCTTGGCGCTAGAGGACACTGCAGTCGTCTGCGCTTTGACTCCTTCTACCAGGCTCAATCTAACCTTGAAGGTTGGGGAAGTGAAATAGGGAGGGTTGCACGTAGTGGTGATCAAGACACTTCATAAATACCAGTAAGCAGCCAAAACTGAGTGAGTTCAAACGGCATCGTGCTGGTTTATATAAAAACTCAGTGCTCATATGATCGTAATGGCAGTGCATAACAGTCTCAGTGTGTGACAGTAAGCGGGATTGCCGACTGAGAAAAAATAAATCAATAGGGAAGATTAGTCCTTTCATTTTTGTGGAGCTTGCAGACCAACCAATACCAGTCACTGCATGCAGTTTTGTATGCATTGTCGAGCGATTCTAAATAGGAATTGGGTGTGATGGCACATATCAGACCGAACTTTGGCGCTAATAGTCTTCGATCGGGTCTTATGTGAACCTCTGTGGTCAGAAGGAGCAGTGGTACGAGCGATGCCGTTCGCAACAGAGTGCTATCAGGTAATTCGATTTTAAGTTTTTGGCAGCGTTTGGCAGTACTTGTAAAGTCACACATTTAGCTTTCACTATTCATCTCATAATCAGTAGCGTGTGAAGTCCAAGCGCAAATGCTCCTAGAAAGTCAACAATTTCGTCACGAAACGGTGGCGCTGGAGAGGAAAGCTTTAAATTAGTTGGTTCGGGTCAAGAGCGGTCTCCCAGTCGCCCTACTCGCATACCGATATCGGCGTTATCTATTGAACTACTGGCGCTATGAACATTACTACCGCAAGTCAAAAAAGTTTAGTGTTGAAATTTTGTATGTAGGAGCAATTCAGTGCGTTACTACAAATATGATACTCGCTTCTAGCGCTGGCGCCATATAGCGCTAATCGGTGCAACATCCGCTATGTTTCTCATGAAAACGAGATGAATTTTTATGCCCCTCGCTCTGCTAAGCTTTCAAAAAGGGGCGATTCTCTTCTCTCCAGGTTCAGCCTCAGCAGAGCGCAGGCGACAACAGTGCCCCAGCCGTGAACGAATGTCGCATTTGTGATCAGTACGTCAAATAAGCGCAGTTCAGAAGTGTTCAGCGTTTGGTGATGGAGATGGTGGCGCAAAATTGGCGTTAACCTACTGCCATATTCGGGGTCAAAGCGCATAATAACCCCCATAGGCAGAATTTCAGAAGAAAATTTTTCTCGTGATTTTGTGTAACAGTTCAATAGTCCCAGAAAGTCAAACGATCATGTCTGTTAAGAGTGTACGGCGATGCTCGAAACCTTCGGAACCATGCTATTTTTCCGATCCAACTCGCAGAGGCATTTTTGGCAACTTCAGAGTCTCAAATCCTAGCGCTTTTGCATTTTCGCAAAGCGAGATACTGACTAAACACGTTTCCGATCTTATTTAACTAAACTCTGGAACAGTTCACTGCCATTTCAAGATAAGATTTAGTGAAGTCTCTGTCTGAACAACAATCTCTACACAACCTCTCACAGATTTATTCTCATAGTGATCGTATTCAAAACACATATCTCTGGCGTATATACATTTCTCTGTTGGGATCGAAAGTGAAGTGAATCGTTGATTCCGGTACATTTCCAGCTGAAATTCAGTGAAGGTTACTCTTCAGCATCTCTCGTATTGCAACTTTTACCAGTTTGTTCATTTACTGAAAATGTGGGCTCGTAAATATCAAGATTTTTGAGTGAAACATTTCATCCGGACCTTTCTTTCCTAGGTACCAGTGGCGAAAGTCTTGGACTTGGAATGCACATCTCAACTCAAAACTGTAAGTCAGCGAGAGAGCACCAGAAGTGAGAGGGCGCGGGCAAATAGATTATCTAGCTACGATTAGGCGTGTAGATGGCTTCGCAGCAGCGTGGGTGGACTCTAGGTATCTTAAGAGACGTGCAACAAAATCGTCCGGGGCAGCGTCCGCGGTACGTCGCGCGGCGAATGAGCAGCTCACTCACGTGCATTTGCTAGCCGATAGCTTTGCGACTGGAGCAAATGATTTACTACAGCGTACATCCGCAACATTTAGCAGGTTTCATCAATGATTGAAAATCTGATGTTTTTCTTGATAGTAACACACAATTGTTTGGCGGTTCCATAAACGCAACTTCAGGAAATAAACAGATACAAAAGAAATCAGATAAGGCCGTGATTCTCCCTATGTTTATGTGGTTCACATGATTTGCGCAGTCGCCAGCGTCAATATGATATACGGATGGCTAAGTTTTT